TAGATCAGGTATTCTTATTCTCTTTAGTGCTTTTTCCATCATTGTTAAGCTTACTGAATCAAAAGCTTTTTTCATGTTCTGAAAGAGAATCCATAGCTCTTTGCCTTTTTGTCTTACATCTTCCAGCAAGTTGTTCATGATGTGAATTGGGCTTGAGATACTATCATCTGACAAACCTGCAAAGTTTGGTTCTTCTAATATATTGTGTTTAACTAGTATACTATCTAGCCTTTGCATAATAACTCTTATTACTATTTTCCGGAATGCTTCCAGTAGTACAATAGGTCTTACATTTGCTAGGTCATAGTTCCATTCTTCACTTTTAGGAATTGGATATAGTTGTTCTAATTTCTATTTCATATGGATGTCTCCTTCTGTGATACACTGGCTTGCTAGTATTCTAAACACCTTTTGTGCTGTCTGTCCTGCTTTTTTAATTAGAGGATAACTGATTCCTGATATACCAGATGCAGACTTGTTTTTTGTCTTGTTTAGAGTGTTAGCTCAATTCTCCTTTGTTACGCTTTTTGATAGATCTTTATAAATTTCGGTATTTATCTTTTTAATTGGGCTATATGCTTTTACCTATCTTGCTATTAGGCTGTTTTTATTGCTATCTCTTTTCTGAAATTGCTTCATAAAATGAGATCTCAATTTACTTAGAACTTCTTTCTTCTCTGTTAGTAGGATTTTCTTGTCTCCTGAAATTTTCATAATTCTATCTACTTTTATCTTTCTTGATAGCCTTTCTAGCAGACTGTTAAGCATAAGTTTTAGTTCTTCTTGTATTGCTTCACATCTTGCATCAATACGCTTATTGATTTCACTTGTTTCTTCTTTTTTCTTTTCTTGTTGTACTTTGAGGTTTAGTATTTTCCACTATTTCTTGTATTCAATTGCCATTTCGTCTAACCATCTTTCTTCAACTAGTGCATTGATTTGAAGATCATATTTGCAATTTAGTTCTTCTATTTCTGAGTTGGTCTGATATCAGTCATCATTGCTTATCTGAAAGCTTTCCTTTTCTATATACTTATAGCAAATTTTTCCTAAGCGTCTCAGGTCTTTTAGGATCTTATCACTTTCATTTGTCTTTTTTGATAAGATACTACATACCGCAACTTTTTGGCTTGGTAATGTTGTATATGCACTTCTAATTATGCTATTAGATATGATATCCCACAACTCATCTAGATTCTTATCTTTACAAATGTTCTCAAGCGTTATTGATTTGTCTGTAAATTCTAAATCTTTTGATATCTCTTCTTCTAGTTTTGTTTTGTAGCTTTCTCACTCCTCATTTTGTGCTTTGTCTAGCTTGAGGATCCTCTTTTTCTTCTTGAGTCGCTTGTTAGCTGCTACTAATCTTACTTTCTGTACTATACCAGTACCTAACCTTGTGACTATGATTTTGTGATCACTGCATGTAATAAGCTCTGCAGGATGTATTTCACAACTTATTGCCTTGTTGGTCTTGGAGGCAGATCCCAATATTTCTTTGATGCTTATTGTGAGCTGGTTGCTTGTTAGACCTCGAATATGTAGCTTTCTCCTGCTAAGTGTTTCAGCTGCATCCTGTCCTAAGAATACTTCTTTTAAAGTTTGTTCTGAGACATCCATGTCCTATCTATCATTGATTTTTATATACAGCTCTACTATGATCAACTTTTCGATCTTTCTTCATATTTCTTGATATAGTTAGCATTCTGCAATGTGTTCTAATGATTCTTCTTTTGCAAGGCATACTATACAAGTTTTGCTCTTATATAACTTTGGGTTTCTTTGGAAGCATAGGTCTTTAGTTGGTAATAACTTGTTAAGGCACTTTATTCTGAAAATCAGAGCTTTGCTTTTTTTGATACTCGTATATCTTTTTCCCTGAAGCTTCTTTAGCACGCTCCATGTGTTTCTCCAGTTTAGCTCTTCCTTGCCTTGCCCGCTTGATTTTTGACTCAGCATTAGTTTAATATTGTTTAGATCTGCCTATTCATATTCATATGATATTGTTGTAATTATATTAATGAAAGATCTCAGTAGGCTATCAATCAGCTTGTTATTCCAAGTTGGTGCTACTTTTATACTACCTGTTGTAGTGTCCTACACTTCTAGTATTAGGCTAGATAAGAGTTCTTCTTTTGCTAACATATCAGCTTTATCATTCTAGTAGTTTATACTATGGCCTTTAACTTTAATTAGCTCTAGCTCAATATTCTTAGTTCTATAACAGTCTATTATCTGATTAATTAGACTGCAATTCTTGGTTTTAAACATGCTTCTAATATTCATTCGACTTTGGAACCCTTGTATTCCTTCTATCACTACGTTGCTATCAGAGTATAATTTCACTTTTGTACTAGCAAGGACTACTAGCAAGGCTGTCCAAATCACACCTAGTTCTGCTCAAGTTGAGGAGGGCCAGTTAGCTATTCTACTATTAAAACTAATGCTATTCATAATACTATCCTCATCTGCTATAACCCAACCTATACTCATCCTTTTTCCTTCTCTATCTCCTTCATACTCTGTTACTAATGACTCATCTGTATATATATCTAGCTCTTTTCTCCCTTTTAACTTCTCTGCAATATCAGTTAGCTTGCTTTGTATCCTTTTATTGCTAACTACTCTTTGAATTACTGCTTCTTCTATGCTAGCTACTCTTATTTCTACTTTTCCTTTCTGTTCCTCATTTTTCTCATGTTGAAGCTTCTTTTCTGCTATATAGACTAACAGAGGCATTTCAATTGATAATGTATTTCCCTCACGTACTACTTTTTCTAATACTTGGTGCCATGTTTTTAGCTTTTGCCTTATTATACAACTTGTATTATTACGTCTTCCATGTGTGTAGCCCTTACTCTTTCTAGTTAATATGTTTCTTTCACTCTTATTTTCTTCCAATCACCAGTACTTGGTTATAAACTACTTCTTTTCTTTCCTTATAACTTTGCCAATTTTGAAGCTTTTTCCTTTTTTGAAGATGATCCACTTTTTTTTTCTCTTGTCTGCAAATATTTTGAGCTTGTTGAAGCTTATTGCATACTGGTTTGGTTCTGCTATATAGTATTCTTCTTTTAGACACCTTGTT